TTTATTAGCAGAAGTTAGAAGAAGATAGTCCATCACGAACCCCACTCCATACCAGTAAGTGGCGGTAATCCTACTCAAAGTGTGTTGCCAATCGCCAATAAATTCAACAAGAAGAAGTCTACTTCTCTTTTTTTTTTACTTTTAACAACATAGACGTATAAGAGTAGACCCGCATCGACGGTCGCGGCGCAGGAATTACGGCGGCCATCTTGGAGCGGTCGAACTTCAACCCAATCCCGCTGGTTTTAAGCTGGTCAGACGAAGGATGCCTCAGCACTCTGCGGCGTTTTTCTGTTAGAATCGACGGGCTATTGACGTCAGGGCTCGAGGGATAACTTTCCACAAGTCAGATGAACAGAAGATGATTTATGAAGATAAGGCTGCACCACATTGCCAAAGTCACCATCCTTGAACTCTTGCACAAGAAAAAAGCTCTGCAAAACAGTCCTTTTGCAACATACATACATCCTGTCTGAATATTATATTACTTTTAACCACACTAATATTTAAATGCACTGAACCATTTGGTATAATAGCTATAGTTTTAAAGTTTTCAGAAAAAAACAAAAAACAAAAAAAACAATGTGAAAAATAGTTCAATATGCTACGGAAGAGGATTAGGGCCAGTGGAAATTTTTTTTATTTCAGTTTAGTATGGGAAAAAAGTCAGAATTGTGACTTTTTTCTCAGAATCCTGACTTTTTTCTCAGAATTCTGACTTTAATCTCAGAATTCTGATTTTAATCTCAGAATTCTGACTTTTTTCTCAGAATTCTGACTTTAATCTCCGAATTCTGACTCTTTTCTCAGAATTTTGACTTTAATCTCCGAATTCTGACTGAATTCTGACGATAAAAAAGTCAGAATTCGGAGATTAAAGTCAGAATTTTGAGATTAAAGTCAGAATTCTGAGAAAAAAGTCACAATTCTGACTTTTTTCCCATACTAAACTGAAATAAAATTTAAAAATCAGTTTTTTTTCTTTTTTTTCCCACTGCCCCTAATCCTCTTTCGTAAACATTCAGCAAGCTATAGTTGACTAAAATTAATTATGTGCCTGGTCAACACATTACACTCAGCAGAGCAGTCGACCGCCCCAAGATGGCGCCCCTAAATCTCGTCAGCCCCTATAGGCAAGAGGTCGATGCGGGGTCTACTCTTCATAAATGTCTATGTTTAACAACACTTTATTTACACAATTCAAACATATAAACAATAGACGTAAAATAAGTGTCTGTTAAAAATCACTATTAAGGTAGAAACAAGTGTCAGTTAAAAATCATTAAATGAGGAGCTTGTTAAAATGCAGTTCTCCATCATCTGACACAGTTTAAAATGTTAAAACCCCTCAACTGAATAAAATCCTCCAAGTTCTGTGTGGCTCTGTGGAAGAAGAAGAAGCCGACGACGACATTACGTAGAGTTCACCGCTTATCGTACGTCATCACGCAATGGGTGGCGACGTGGAAAACATGGAGGAAAAGAGTACGTAGAGTGGGGCTAGCAGTGTTAATGACTATCTTATATCAAATGTTTACCTCTGGTGCGTTAAAACTCAGCAACCAGCTGGTTTAAACCTAAATCTCCGTGGGGAAACCGTTGTTAGAAAGCACCGCAGGAAGCCAGCCGGAGCCAGAGAAACTGCGAGAGGCTTTTCTGACAGGTAAGCCGAGCTGTCAGCTGATTGCAAACAAGCAGTAAACGTTAGCTTCTATGCTTGATTTGAACTCACAGGCTAATTGGAAAGTAATCATAAACCAACCACGGAGCGTGTCATTGCTTTTTTAAATCCAGCCAATTGTCTCCGTGTCTCTGCTCTTCTTAATTCCTTCACTTAAAGCAAGTCACTTGCTAACCTTAAGCTAATGTTTCGGATATAAACAGGATAAACCTGAAAATTTAATTATTCTGCAGTACAAATTATTCAGGCGGTGATGGAAGGAAAGATCAGAAAAGCAGTTCTCTATTTACATCATGTTGCTGTCGTGTAGTACTTTATAAAAGGAGATTATGCTGCTTATAGTTAAACTCTTCTGTCACCTAATTCATTGTTGCCTGTTTGCTAAAGGCGAGTCATCAAAAGACAACCAAATATCCTGGTTGGTTAGATTCATCCTGTTAATGAAGACAATGCTCAGCTGTAAAGATCAACTGATACAAGTTTTTAAAAAGCAGGTACCTTTTCTTTTTTTTCTTTTTTTTTTTTTACATCAGTCTAATCCATCCCCAATATTTACAGCCGATTTTTATTTATTACTTTTTTTTTTTGCCTGATTCTCGAGGCAGATATTTCCTTTTTTCCCTGTCATTTACATGATACAAATGACACAATGACGGTGACATCGGTTACTCCTTCACTTCCCTGGAAAGTTATTTCATGTGATTAATAAAAAAATGCTCTGAATAATAGAAATTGCTACAGATAATGCCATGTTATGAATGGTTATAAACTAGATTCACATGAGAAGGACAGTCTTTATATGTATGTGTTAAGGAATTTGTCATTTAGTCTTGATAAGTGACCTGGTGTTATTTTGCCAGTTTTAAATGGAGCAAGGCATTAAAAACCGAACATTTGGTGTATTTTAAGATCCGTAAAAACTGCAGCAGACCATAAGAAAATAACCCTTTACTTGTTTTCCTCTAATGACTATGAAAAAAAAAAATCTCTTTCCTATTTTTGGATGTTAATTCAATGGATAATAGTGTGCATGCATAATATTTTGATTACATTAATAACCTCTTGCTGCTTTTTCTAGGATTTTGCACAACCCAGTAAATAAGCACTGAAGATTGAAGCCAGGGAGCTATGGGTGCAAACACCAGCCAGGTCACTGACCTGTCCGATAATGCGAGCCTCAAAGCCCTGGTGGGGACCGAGTCCATCTCTGAAAACGATCCCTTCTGGAATCAGCTAATCTCCTTCACCTTTGTCAGTCCTACAAACAGGTAGAAAAAAAAATCAATTCTGATTGAAGTAATATGATGAAAACGGTCAATCGTTCTCACTGTCTCCTGCTCGTTGCCTCGTCTTTCATTTAACCCACAACTTTTATTCCATGTAATTGCCTCTGAAATAGTTAATTGGCTGTGTCTTGTTGGTTGCTAGGCAAACGGAAGAAACTGTGTGGTTCATTGTTGCATATAGGTAGCTATCTTGTCTTTGTTAAAAACTGAAAGTTGCTGTAGGGGTAGTAACTGACACCTCATGGAGAATCAGAATCTGAATCAAGTTTATTGCCAAGTAAGTTTGCACTTCCAAGGAATTTTATTATATACAATTTATAGCAGAAGTCACTAATTAGCGGACCGGGGTCTAGATCTGGGCCCACCTGCTGGCTAAGCCGGACCGAACCTGATTTAAAACAGCTATAAGTTATTGCATTTTGTCTGTCGACAGTTTCTAACTTCATTTCCGCCGCTTCTCCTGTTAACATGGTAAAGCTCTTCAGAGTGCCGGGACCTGGCTGCACGTGATACAAATTAGCCAATGAGCTGTCAGTCTGAGTTGCTGCTGCTGCTACTTTTAGACACCGCAGGAAGTTCTGTGGCAAGCCGGGCAATGGGAAAGAAGGAGAAGATGATAAGAAAAAGATAACAGAGAAAGTGTGGACTGCTGGAAGAAGTGCAGGGGACTAGTGACAGAAAATTAGAATGGCTTGTTTAAAGATGACCCTGCACATTTTGAATACGTTTGGTTCAACCTGCTGCTGTGAAGCAGGATTCTTCACCATGAACATATTCAAAAATAAATATCGATCTAGGCTCACGAATTAGCAGCTTGATAGGTTGAAAGCCTTGCAGGGGAGCGTGAAGCCCGCTTCTCTCCTCAAGCCATAAAAAAGAAAGGAGAAAAAAAAGTCATTTCAGGTGTTTTATAAAATATATGAATCAGGAAATTGTCTATATACAAAACGGAAAGATTGTTGTTCTCAACTTCAAAAACACTTTAGATTTAAATATGGAAAAATATTCTATTTTTCTTTATAGATTTTTATTTAAAAATTTGATATATAAAAGGATGCATAAAAACCTCATTTTATTCCAGTGTTAATTGCTGTTTAAAGTAATGGATTATAATTAAAAATATCTCCGGATCTTTACTGGTTGTTGATTTTCTTTATTTGAACCCCACTGATTTTTAATTGGTTACCCCTGATATATAGAATATGGCTAGATGTAATAGATCACCTGAGAGTCCAACACAGTGTCAGATGTGCCTCCTAGAACTTTGCTTCTCTTTAACAAGATTATATGGTCATATGATCTGAGGTCAACTTTAGAATATTTATTGTCTAACAGAGAATGGAGAAAACCTTTGTCATGGTGAGTCCATCTTTCTGACCTTCGAAGTTGGTCAAAAGGTTGTTTTAGTTGCACACAGAGTTAGTAAAACACGAAAACACAATTCTATAGGCACTCATAAAACTGCTTTCAAACCTGCGGTTAATGTGACCAATATTTGTTTCTTAAGTTGTTTCTTATGCTCAGAGTGAAAAAGTCCTTCAAATTTTCGCCCAGGATTCATAATTAAACTACAGAGGATGTTTGCAGAGCTCAACTGAAGGATCCGCCTGGGTATCACTTGTGCTTAGGATTTTAGTTAAAGGTTAACGTGTAGTTCTTTCCTGAATAAAGTTAATGATAAAGAGAACACTGCATTCCTGTTTGTAGGTGCTAAATGACATGCTTAAACACTGGCCCACTGAAAAAGCTTTTTCTAGATTATAGGTTCTGTTTCAGGTGTGTGGGGGGAATTCCTCCAATGTGCTAAGAGAGAGGATGAGGTTAAATTAGCTGTGATCTGTTGTAGCAGATTCCTTAAGTGTTTTAAGATAATCCTCCATGGATCAGCCTTGGTCCATTAAGTTAATCTTCCCCGCCTTCTGTCCTATTTAACATGTCAAGGTGAAACAACATCTAGAGAGTTTTGTTTTTCTAGTTCTTGCGACTTTAACTTTTATTATTACTGCACTTCTTTAAGAGAAGCATCAATGAAACCAGCATACAGTCATGGCCAAAAGTTTTGAGAATGGTTCAAATGTTAATATTTACAAAGTCTACTGCTTCAGTTTTTATAACGGCAATTTGTATATACTCCAGAATGTTATAAAGAGTGATCAGCGTAACAGCAATTAATTGCAAAGTCAATAGTTGCCTAGAAAATGAACTTTATCCCCCAAAACCCATTTCATCATCATTGCAGCCCAGCCTTAACAGGACCAGCTAACATTGTTTCAGTGATTGCTCCATTAACACAGGTGTTGGGTGGTGATGAG